TGTTGCATGTCAATCAAAGCTTGTGGGCAAACTGTACCACATGGTATTGGTGCTCCAACAGGACCAAGAATGGTGTAGTCGTAATCCTCCGAGGGCTAAGAAGATGCTCCTGAATATTTTTCAGCATGCTTTTTTTCTGAAGGGTTGCTGTTGGCTGAGTTTGCCTGCTGCAAGGATGCTTGTTCCAACGATCAGTAAATTAATCTGGAACTTTGTGCTCCAACAGGACCAATGATTGTGTAATAAGTCCCAATCCTTTTATGGACTTGCTACCGGTGGGGCAAAGCTTGCAGTTCACTCATGCCAAGGTGTGTGTGGGACACGTTGTCTTAGCATTGTGTGATTGTGACTTTTAGAGTTCACTCTTCGAGATGATTTACGTGCTGCGCTTGCTTGGGCCTTAAATTCTTTGAGTTGGTTTAGTTCTGCTCTATGCTGTTGATAACCTGATATTGGCGATAAGCTTTCACTTGCAAGATTGGGGTGCTGATTCTGTGGACAAGACAAAATCGAGGACAAGCTGCGGGTAAAGCCACCTAAGATGACAGCGAGCAACAAGATGCTGTACTTCTCTCTGCAAGCAGCTTGACTCAAAAGCCTCATAGCGGGGGATTCTGCTCCCTCTTTGCCTATTTCAACGCCGTTTGAACATGTTTGAACACCTTTTACATGTTCGAGGCGAGTTCGGTTCTGCCATCAGCCCGAGGCCTTGAAGGCTGCCCTGCCCAACGCTGTGGTGAAGGCGACACCCAGAACCGCTGTTGTCTGTGTTGACGTTTTCTCACGGTTGAAGAGCGTGCCAGGGCATTCCATCAACGAAACGAGCAGTTCTGAACAAGAAAGAGACAGGTGAGAAGGCCCGATATCCTTGATAGTTGCTTTATAATGCTTTATGTTGCTTTGCCTTGAAGGGCTTGAGTGGAAGATGGCTAGCTTGCAGCATGAGCAGACATATACTGTATATTATATATGCTACATATCTTGCAGGAGTGACCACAAGATGGCCCGGAGTCGTTAGACAGCTGTCAAAGCATTTGCGTTCATCAGGTGTCTTACACTTTGCTGGTGGAAGGTTACGGTTTGCGCGAGGCATGGCCTGGGTGAAAGCTGATTGGTCTGGATTAATGGCACAGAATGATCAGAATGCGCCAGGTCATGGCAACGCCAGGGATCAATCCCAGCAAGACTAGCTCCAACCACGTGGTGGAGGTGGAGAAGGCCAAGACAGGGCGAGCCCGTGGAGAGTATGTCCTTTGAACAGACCTGCTTAGCATTTGCCCCTTAGTATTGAGTGGAAATGCCCGTTGCTCCTAGTAGCTTCTTGTTACTAGTAGCGATGCCAGGAGCCCCTAGTAG